CCCTACCAGATATAATTCCTTTAGGAAGAAGTAAGACTATTTTTGTTTTTGGTTTTTCCCCTGCGCTGGCTCTTACACAAGGTAGATGTTTAGTGAAGAGTTAATCAAGTAACAAATGTTCTAACTTTGAATCACACTTGTTTTTATTCTTTCACTTTATGTCCTTAAATTTCCTCAGTAGGTTTTGCTCCTCTTCGTGCAACTTTATTTATAGGCCAAATTAAAAACAATCCAGGATTATATTTTCCCACAAATAAATACCTCCTCTCTATGCACAGCCACTGTTGAAAATATCTAACCAGTTCGACTTGTATGATCCTAAGATCTTTGGAATAATTTGACATCATTACTCTTACAGGTGTCCAAAATTACTTAGGCCATATATGTGCTCAGTTTTGAAACCCAATTTTTAAGATCATGGAACCACATATTTTTTGAAGGGCTCTTCACAGTGAAGTTGAGGTAGCTGAGGCAGAGCTCCTGTTCAGGATCGAGGGATGAGTGAGAGATGGAGATGCCGCCAGGGAGACAAAAGGGCAGGACAGCCGCTTTTGCCCTGAGCCCGGAAAGTGCTGCTATTTTCAGGCCTTCGCATAATGCCCTGGCCCCCCTGGCCCACACTGGAGAGAACAGGAGCCGGACGAGCCCTGAGCCCTGTTAGCAGGTCACTTCAGGTTTACAGCCTAAAACACATTCAAACCATGCCAACTCAATGCCTTTTTCAGCAAGGACTTTAAAGGTAAAGTGGTTTCCAGTGGGAGATAAGCAATCCTGTGGCCTGCAGGGAAGGAGTCTCGCTGGTGGCTATCAGCCACCACCAACTTAATTCCACTTTTGAAAAGGCTGGGAAAGGAAGACGGAGGTGGAAGTGCGATCCATTATTTTTAGCTACGTGCCTAATTGAAAAGAATTTCATGCTGCCTTTTCCTCAATTAAATGAAAACAGGGAAAAGTTGCTTTCTTAAACAAAGGCTTATTCTATTCTAACACCTGCTACTGAAATATAACAAGGTGTTAAACAGTCTGATTGTAGTAAGGGTGGCCCTCATTTAGCCACAACATCAAAGCAGGTGACCAATGAGCTGTCAGATGTCACAGCTGGATCTCTGAGGCATTCTCACCTGCGGAATGTATACACTCCTTTCTACAGCGAGTGCATCCAAACCTGGGATTTTGTCAAAGCAAATTTAGCCCATCAGGGGGCATTTTTATTTTTCCCAAATATCCTTCTTAGTCTGTACCTGAACTGGGGTTCAGGTACAGGTCTCCCGATCATGATTCTCTATGAAACCATCATCCCCCTTGAAATACTGGCACACGGGCCATAGCAGCATTTTGTAAGAAATAGAAGCACATCTTTACAATTTAAAAAGAGAACCAGCTCAACCACAATACATTCATATGGGGATTGGCTTCCATTTATATATTACAATAATCGTTATGAGTTTACAATGACAAATTCCTGCAGAGTGAAATTTGGCAGAACAACCCAGTTCAGGGAAAACAGTGCGAGACTGTCTGCGGCGTGTGTTACGCACAGGGAGAGTATGTTACACACTGAGGGATGGAATCAGAGAAGACAGAGGTCAGTTGAGATATAAGGAAAGCTGGGGCATTCTGCTCATGGCAGTGCTCTGGGCCTCCAGGTAATGGGATTGGTACGTGGACGCAGCATGGGGTTCACAGGAGGCAAAGCAGGGTACAGTGATGTGATGACTTCAACAGAAAGGGGAAGAGGGTGGCTGGAACATCTGCCACATTGGTGTATTATCAGTGCTTGAGAAGCAGCCTGGGATACAGTGTTATGAAAATACTGCGTTTCATCTTGCTCACACCCCGGATAATGCATTTTCAAGAAGGCTCCTTTTACGTCTAATTTCTTCTTCCTTTGTTATCTGGACTCAAGCATCTGTACGGAGAGTGGTTCATTTACCTGCTCATTTGCCATGCATGCACAGAGCACCTGCGAAGGGCACGCCCCTGGGCGAGGAGCTACAGGGAACACAAGGATGAGTAAAAGGGCAGACCTGCCCTCTGCAGTGCTGCTACCTAGTACCAGCACTCCAGCACACAACTAAAGGAGAGGAGCCGAGAAAGGTGGTCCTGATTCCTTGGGAGGAGTGGGCCACATAACTCTTCAGGACTCACTTATGTTCCCTGGGCTTCTGAGCATCGGTTTACTCTGCCCTCCCTCAACAGCCACATGCTCAGAGAATAAGGCAACATTTTGAACTTGCCAGCTCACTGAACCATGTATCTAACCAAAGCATATACCTCCAGGAGAAGAAATGGCTTGTTTTCGGAAGTGCTGACAATAGACTCAAAATGTAACATTTACGAAGACCTGAGTTAGGTACAAAATCCGTAATATGATGCGTGGCTGAGTGCATTAGTTGGTAAAAACGAGGCATTAGATAGGCATCAGTCTACAGTTAAAGGATTAGAAATGTTAGAAATGAAATTATAAACTTATAAGTCTGAAGTTGTTAGGGCATGACAGAAAAAAGTCACTCCAGTGCCTCAATGCCAAACAAGAAGAAATATTCACTTGTCTAAGAATACAGAAAGGTTACTACTTGAATCTGAAGGAAAGGTGTCCTTTTACCCATTACACCATCTTGGTGAACATTTAAAAAATTAATTTTAAGCTTAATACTTCAAATATCTGTCAAAAATTAATTATCTGTCAAAAATATCCCCTTCCCACTGCTACACCCACTCCTGCCTGAATTCGGCAAAGCAAATTCAAGTTCACTCTCATCTAATGGCAACAGATGGCTTTCACGTTACGCAATTTGAGTTATGTGACAGCAAACAGTATCCTCCACCAACATTTCTGTTATCTCCTATCAATTACAAAATCAAAAACATGAGTGATACTCAAACTAGACAAAGAGAAAAAAGGCCTTCTCTTAGAAAACAAGTTTCAAGTATCAAACTGAAAACCATAGCGTCTTACATACGGGGTTACCAAGCATTCTGCGAAAATGTTTTTTATAGCTGTTAAGCCCTGATATTTTATTTTTGACATGAGTTTTACATAAGCCATCTCTCCCACTTGTCTATTCTTCTTTTATAGCTTCAGAGCTAATCATACTTATCCACAGTGAACTGATAAATGAAGAATGAAAACCAAGAAAGAATAGTTTCTCTGCATAGTAGACAAAAGAGAGTTTTTTGGGAAGTAGGTAAGTATCTAGAAAAAAGCAGATCATATCAGTTCAAGGTGTGGTGCACGTATATGATTCAAACAATCATACGTGTGACAGCTACTCTTTCGCCGTACAATGACTTCTCGGACCAAGGCTTGGAAATAAATAACTGCCCATCCCTGAAGATCAGAGCTCTCAGCGGCAAGATCCTTTATATATTAAAAAATAATTACATATTACTGGTTGAATATGCTGACCAACATGGCAACAAATGCAAAAACCATGTACTGCCAAAAATATTGTACCGGCACCTGAATCATCTGGGATTTTCCCTTTCAATTCCTGTGGTTTTCCCTTCCCACCTTCCTGGAGCAACTCTGTTCCCAGACTTCTAATAGCCCCCTTCTCCAATCTGTCCTGCTCCCCATCTTCAATCTGCATGTTCATACTGTCTCTTTTGGCTTGTGAACCTTCAATAGTCAGTTGGCATAATGAGAAAAATCAGAATCCCTTGGTTTGGCATTCAAGGCCCTGCAAAATTGGACCTTGGCCTACCTTTCCATCCTGTGTTAGCTTCCCTTTGACATGAATTTCCTGTTGCATCTGAGACTCTAACGCAGGCTCAAAAGGCAGCCCAAAAGCCTTCTCCATCACTGTTCAGGGTAACCTCATGTGATGTCTCAACCCAACCCACAGGAAATGTCTTTTCCACGTGCCTCTGCTCATCCAATGTCTTCCCAAAATTCAACAGTAGCTCCAGTTACCACCCCCCTGCCATTTTCTCTCCTTCTTGACTGAGAAAGCATTTGACGTAGGAACCATAATTCACCACAAGATCTAGAGAGACACTGAGACCACGTAATCCAAATACCCCATTTTCCACATGAAATCATCTTTTACTTTGTGCTTTTATCTAGTTCCTGCCTTATATTTTTCCATATGTCCTACAGGAAACAACATAATGTAAATACTTTGTTAACTTATTAGGTGGCACTTTAATAAATTTAGCTTCTTCAAATGTATCAAAAATCAGCAGATAATCCCCATGGTGGAAGGTGGTGAGAAGAGAAACAGGGCACTTTGAGAGGATCCTATAAATATCATATCAGCAAAAAACCCCCACAAAACTGATTTTAATTACCCGCTAACTCTGGCGACATGTCTGTCTGACCCCCCACACATCAGGGGCTTTCAAAGAGAGATGACACTTTCAGGTGGGGCGAGCTGGGGGATGAACATGATGTCTGCCTCACATGTCCCTGGGAATGTATTGAAAAGCTGAGAGCATAGTGGTCTATTTGCTTGTGTAGAAGGTTTTGGGCTGCATCAAAATGAGACCTGTGACAAAAGAGGCTCGTCACAATGCCGTGCACCTTCCAGAGCTGGCCTGGTTTTAAGAATTATATTTATTTCTGGAGCATATATCATCCGCATGTACGGTATAATCAAAGTGCTTCCAACATACCTTTTACCACGCAATGTCACATCAGGTTATTTTCTATAAATCTTTTCTAGAGTAACAGCTACAGATCACAAGCAAAACAAAGACATTAAGCAGCATTCAATACTGTCAAAACCACTGCAGATGTTATGGACAGTGCTTCAGAGCACTCTGCTATGAGGTACTGAAATATGCTACAAATGTTACTTTTCAAAAGCATTGCCACTGTAAATCACTCTAATGCAAATTTAAGTAGCATGCTAATAAGTGCTGCAAAGCAAGAATCTGCACTAGAACAACAACTTCAGAGATATACGGTGTTTTCAATGGAATTACATCGAACTGAAGTGATTATAGTACCAGGAGTGCATTTGACAGATGCGAGAAATAAATTGTAGGATTCCTACCTTGTGTCTGTTTCTTGTTCACTGCATTATCAGCTTTATGTCGTTTCTAAAAGTTTAAAAGCAAAAACAAAAACTGTGAAAAAGTGAATAGGATGAATCAAACAAAATAGCACCTACAAAAAAAGAGAGATTTCTTTAAGTTATGTTTCTCAAGGCTTTTATCCTTTCCTGCTCGGGAATTTGAAAACTGAGCGCCATCCACAGCATCTCTGTGCAACAGGCCTTTCCCGGGGGAACAGGTGTGGTGTGTGGTCCTCGGAAGAGCTTACGTCACCATGCAGGTAAAACTGAAATGTTAACGTATTAGAAGAGTTGAAGCTGAAAGGCTGACCCAATCCTTTGCTTAAATAACTCACTTAGAAAAGACTGCCCAAGATAATTACTATGACTACCATTTAATAATGGTACTGAGATATTTTCAAACTTTGAAAATATCAATTATCTAACTAAGCTGAGGATATCTTCTATAATTTCATGACGTGTGGATGTCTGTCAGAGACTAGAAACGAACACATCTGCTGCTTGCATACAGCCCCTTCTGCCTACTGCTCCCCAAGAGCCACCAACCCCTCAAATCACAAGCCACTGATCGCAGGATCCTACTCTCCTTCCTCCCAAAAGCACTGAAATAAATTAATAAATAAACAGTAAACAGGTGAGACCTCTTTGCTTCTCACTCTGTACTCTCTTAGTATTCGTCCAGGTGGGTAAGTTGGAAGAGTTACATAAGCAAAGGCTTTACAGCAGTGAGAAAAAGGAACAAGAGATCAGAGGAAAGGGAAGAATGTGATTGGCCAGGGGAGACTAGAGATTTTCCATGGCATCTGTCTAAACTTACAGCATCGCGTGTGACGAACACTTCAGCCTCTGGTGGCACTGGAGAAAAGTGTTGAGTGCCACACACTCTGTGCTCAAAGATTCTATCATATAAAACCCATGATCAGATTGAGCTGCACATACCTGACTTATGGAAGGTAGGACGGAACAAATGCAAAGCAAATGAGTTCTGAAGTTTTCCATTGAGAAGAAACGGGGGTGTTAGGACCACAATGCACATATGAAAACACTTTCTAAGAGAAAAGCCTGGAGCTGTGGATTCGCACTCCTCCGAGACACAGCAGCACTCAGGAGGAGTGGCCTAACGGCTGGCAGTGTGAGCTCACTCCATCTCAACCATCAGCCCCAGAACTGCACAGAATGCAAATGGGCATTCAGGCCGCTCCTACGGAGGGAGGGCTTGTTGAAAACAATTCTGGTCACATCCACATGCGGGAACACACTACGATTCTTTCTCAGAATAAAACTCTCACTAATAAAAGCATAATAATGGAGACTTTTAATTGGCAGGACAGTGCTTCCAAAAAAAAAAAAAGCACATGATTTGCCAGCAAATATTCTTAACTGAATTTTTTTAAAGTTCTGTTAAATCTGTAGCTTCTGCAGAGCATATTTTATAACTGATAAAACTCTAAAGTGCTTATTCATTTTTGTTTGTTAATAAAGATCTTAAGATCAAAAGTAACCACAGATAAATTTTAAACCAAAATAATGATTCAAGGTAAAATTAGATATTCAGAGCAGGTGAAAATGTTTCCAAAACAATGCACACCTACGATATATAATAGTTAGACTTTCAACTGAAGGAGACAAAGAAAGGCTAATTAATGAAACATTCCACTTCTGCAGGAAATTTAACCTTAGTGAAACCTAAGGAGTTCCTGAACATTTCTTTCCATTCACAGAGAATTCTTGTACAAAAAGCATCTCTTTCCTCAACCTTTCCACCTCAGTAAACTAGGTTACTTGTCAAGACAATTGTGCTGAATATACATAAGGGACTCGCCCACACAGGCAGATTCTAATCTCATGACTACAAAAAAAAAGGATCTTTGAGTCCTAAAAAGATCATTACTCCTTCTAAAAGCAGTAGTTCAGAAAAATTAATGTAGTTATTCTCTGAGTTCAAATACCTCCACTGTCCTGTAATCAGAATTCATTAATGCCACTGAGAGCTAGTGAATTATTTAATATTTTCAATATTTGATTGACAGTGCACCCAGAAACTGTGCTATGTAAGTAGTTCCATGAACTTTAGGATGCTGAAGTATGCGATATTGACCAATCCTCCTTCTGGGAACTCTTCCCTCCCTAGGCAGTGCCTGTTGCACCACTGTCCAGGTGTTCCTGCACCTGGGCCCCTCCTCCTCTGTCTCCTTGCTGGTAATTCAGTGGTAGAATTCTGGAAGGCTTATTCTCTTGCCCTCTTTGCTTCTCACTCTGTACTCTCTTAGTTCATTCATACTTGCAATTCCAGTGATAACCAATACATAAATATATACCAGCCAAGACTCTTCATCTGAGCCCCAGACAGTTGTATCCAGTTGCCTCCTTGGTCATCTCCAACTATATCTTAAAACAGTCTATGACTTTGACCCCAAGACTTTGTCCTTGTCTCAGACAACGAACCATATACCATCTACTCATACAAACCACGAACCTAACTGTTATCCTTGCACTTCCTTTTCCCTGTCCCTCCCATTCAATTCATTTCCTCACTCAATAAATGTTTACTAGCCCTGGCTGATGTGGCTCAGTGGACTGAGTGTGACCTCTGAACCAAACGGTTACCGGTTCTATTCCCAGTCAGGGCACATGCCTGGGTTGCAGGCCAGGTCCTTGGTGGGGGGTGTGTGAGAGGCAACAACACATTGACGTTTCTCTCCCTCTCTTTCTCCTTCCCTTCCCCTTTCTCTAAAAATAAATAAATAAAATCTGAAAAAAAGAACCACATATTGTATGATTATATTAAAAAAATAAATGTTTACTAAACACTTAATAAGTGTCAGGCCCTAATACTATAGCTGAGGATCCATCAACGAACAAGAGACAAAAACTCTTGCTCTCATGGAGCTTACATGCTAGAGGTTAGAGACAGAATCTGAACAAAATAACTAGGGTATGTGGCACGTCAAATGATGTTAATTAAGTCTGGTCACTTTACTACTAAATATACATTGAATTAATTTTTCCATATTTCTTCATCTTTACCATACCACTTGGTCTACAATATCTTCATTTTTTCATACTTGCTACTAGAATACTCTTCTAATAAGTATACCTAGATCCTCTCTGTTTTCCTTCCAATCCAGCTTCTACATTTTAGTCAAAGGGATCTTGAGATGATGACAATACAGTTAATAGGTATTCAGCACTTACTATACAATCGGCACTGTCTGAGGACCTCACGTGCCTCATGAAATTCTCACACTGGCTGGTGTGGTCACTCCATTAACATCTGTCTCCTTTCTAGACTGCGGGCTCCATCAGGGCTACTTTTACTCACTGGCATATACTCGTTATTTGATCTCTGAACCTTGTAGACTTTAAATAAGTATTTGTTTCATGATGAATAAAGCTTATCAGTGTTTAAGTTAACTAGTTAATAGCAAAGAAGGCATGTTTTTAGTGGTGATTATTATTATTATTATTATTATTTTAAAGATTTTATTTCTTTTTAGAGAGAGGGGAAGAGAAGGAGAAAGAGTGGGAGAGAAAGATCAGTGTGTGGTTGCCTCTCAAGTGCCCTGCACCAGGGACCAGGCCCACAACCCAGCCATGTGCCCTGACTGGGAATCGACCTGGCAACCCTTTGTTTTGTAGGACAGCACTCAAGTCACTGAGCCACACCAGCCAGGGTCAGTGGTGAATATTATTAATTAGACAAACAACCTTGACCCTGACCATAAGAATTGGCATTTGACAGGAAGCACCTTTTTTTTATTAAATGAAGATCTCTCCACCAATTTTATAGCATTTTCAAGTAAGGACATATTTCATTTGGTACTATGCTTTATTCTAAAATTTAAAAATATGTTTAATAGAATATAAAGGACATTTCAGTAGAACTCAAGCTCTGTTTTATTCACTGATATAAGAATGATACACATAATTATGAGTCTTCATCATTAGCCAGTTTTCCTCTACTTGTATGAACTAGGGAGATTATACCTCCCTTCTGCCTGTCACTAGTTCTGATATTAGGCTGACAGCAAATGTGACATGCACCATTTCTGGGCCAAAACATAGAAGAAATGAGATCTCCATTCTCTCTTTCCCTAATCCTGTGACAACCAGCACTCCACATGGCAAAGCCTAGATCCAGCTGCATCCCCAAGCGGCTATGTGAACATGGGTGCCACCTGTTCTTACCTCCCCAGTACCAACCTGTGGTGTGTCTGAGACATGGAAAGTGAGCTCATGTTTATGCCACTGACATCTGGGACGTGATTAGTACTGCAGCGAAAGTGTAACATACCTTCATACACATCTACTGCCTGCCTGCCATCTAAGTACTGCTTCACATTTTTGTTGAATGAATAAAGGAACAAGTGTATTCATTATAGCTACTGATAAAAATACTCTTTGTCCATCTATCTAATCTATTATTTGATTTTTTTTCTTTTCTAGGAAGTAATATTTCAAACTTTTCATCATCTTATATACCTTGATATAAACTTCTTGTTAAACCAATCTTACAGACCATTTTCAGTCCATTTCTTAACACTTATTGTATTAGAAAACAACTTCAAATGATACTATTATTAACCCACAATACTAATAATACATCCTTCAGAAACTGTCTAATTAGCTGTGTTCTAATAGTATCCAATTATTACACCACGCCAATAGGGGTTTTGTTTAAAAAACAGAAAGGAAAAACAAGATCCAAAAAACCCTTCTTGGCTACCATGTTCATAGAAAGGGGTAGTAAAATCATAGCCAGAGAGTTTATAGTTTTGCTAAGGAAAGGAAAACAAAAGACCCTTGCTAGTGTGGCTCAGTTGGCTGGGCACTGTCCTGCAAACCAAAAGGTCACCAGTTTGATTGCCAGTCAGGGCACACGCCTTGGCTGCAGGTTCAGTCCTTGGTCTGCGTGTGTTCAGAAGGCAACCAATCAAAGTTTCTCTTTCTTATAGGTGTTTCTCTCCTTATCTTTCTCCCTCCCTTCCCTTCTCTCTAAAAATAAATATAAATGATGTTTTTAAATTAAAAAAAAGATAGGAGAGGCAGTGTAGAGCAATGATTATAAGAAAGGGGTCTGGAGCCTTGTCTGAATTCTGACAGCCCCACTGAAATAGCTGTGTGACCTTGGACAAGTTACCTACTACTCTGTGCCTCTTCACCCTCATCTGTAAAATGGGGATAATATCATTTGTTCTTTAAAGGGTTGTTAGAAGATTTAATAAATGTAAAGGACACAAAGAGAGTACATGGAACCCAAAGCTCACTAACTGTTATTAATAGTATTGCTAGTGACTTGCCACAGAAATAAAGGGGAAGAGCACACAGGTGGGATAGAAAATATCCATTTCTTGGGCAAGTTGCATGACCTTTCCAAGCCTCAGCTTCCTTACCTGTAAAATGGGGTTAATATCCAACTTTCAAAGTTATTGAAGGGATTAAATGAGATAAGCATTTGTAAAAACAATGGCACAATGCCTAGTAAGTACCAGATGCTCAGTGAGAACTAGGTTAAACAAAGAAAGAAAAGGAAGTATTAAATGAAAGAAAGAGATAGAACTGCTGCAGAGGCCAATTCTGACGGGGTGCCAAACCCAACCATGACTGAAAAGCTGGTAAGACTCGTGGAACTGTACAGGTGAGAAGGGAGCCCGTGAGATTTTCAGCAAGTGGTCCCCAACAGTATGCCACTTCCAGCCTGGAGGAGTAGGCTGTTCCACACCTGAGCGTGTGCACGCACCCACAACCTCTGTTCCTACTCTTAGACACTTGGATGTTTTTGAGACTGATGATCTAAAGGTCGGCTGACCCGTGCCTGATGGGCGCAGTGGTGCTATGGCTCATGTGTTCTCGGTGAGGTCCCAATCTGATCCCACACGTCCATAATGGTAATGTTTGTGCAACTTTAAATCGGAGCTTTCTGCAGAATGGCTCAGCCCTTCCTCCCTTTACCATCTGACTTGCCTAAGGCTTCACAAAAGGTCATTTCCGACAAGCAAATTATTTAAAGGGCATTGAAAAAAAAATACTGGTTTCCTCAACTAAAGTAGTTAAAATAACAGTTAAAGTAGAAGAAAAAGAAATGCTGAGTTTATTTTGGGGAATGTACTTTATAAAGGGGAAATTGACTTCCCCTTTTCTCTTCTACTACAGAAAAATAAAAATAGAAAATTTGCTGTTACTTTCTTTTAACAAAATAAGATAAAAAAAAAGGAAACTCAGAAGTACTATAAGAAGATGGAAAGGAATCATGGGTATTTAATGAGGTGAAAACTAGGGTATATAAATTTAAAAATAAAAAGCACAATAAAGTCTCTTACATTTAAATAGTTTGGAGTTTCTGTTTAATGTAAAATTAATGTGCAAATTGAAAACTGAACATAATTAAAAATTAGGGCCAAATATATTTTTCTCTCTAAGCCAATTATTAAATTTGAATTAATTTCTTCCATTTATAGACCACTAACACAAGGAAACACTGTCACGAGCATTTTGCAGTATTATTCCCATAGAAATGAAGAGAAACTGACTCCAGAGGTGGGAGCATATTTTATATGCTTTTAAGTTGAACGGGCACCTCAAATAGCCTGTGCCAAGAATTAAAATACTTAAATAATATTTTAAAATTTGTATATAAAAATAACAAACACATTTACTTATGAAAGAATTAAGTACTTACAATGTCTTCTATTATTTCTTTGACAGCTGCCACAGCTAAAATAAATAAGAGAGGAACTAGTGTCGTGTAGCGACCTGTTGGCGATACATCAGGTATTTGCTATTGGAAGAGGGGAAAAAAGAGAAATCCAGTGAGACCTACCAAGTTGATAATACGTTTAAAAACAACAGAATCTTAGGGCCTCTTAACATATGCTTCCTTGATGTTACTATCTGGGCGGACTAACACCAGATGAGGTGATTTGCTCACATCTAATAAGTAGCTGGGACAGTGTGATAATCAGCTTCATGGCAAGCAGTTGTGAGTTGAACTAACACCTACAAAGGGGGATGGGCTAAATAAATTCTAGCAGACCCATATAATAAAATATCAGATGACCATTAAGAATGATATTTTGAGCCCTGGCTGGCGTAGCTCAGTGGATTGAGCGTGGGCTGGGAACCAAAGTGTCCCAGGTTCGATTCCCAGCCAGGGTACATTCCTGGGTTGCAGGCCATAACCCCCAGCAACCGCACATTGATGTCTGTCTGTCTGTCTGTCTGTCTCTCTCTCTCTCTCTCTCTCCCCCCTTCTCTCCCTTCTCTCTCTAAAAATAAATAAATAAAATCTTTAAAAAAAAAGAATGACATTTTTAGATACACAATACATCACATAGGAAAATATCCACATGCTACTACATGGATAAGCAGATTATTAAGCATATGTACTCTATGACCCCCTTTTTGTAAACTAAATTAACAACCAAGGCTTGGGAAAACAGAAATAGAGCAGGAGGATGTACACCCAGATTTTGAGAGAGTAGTTGCCTCTGGGTGGCTGAATGAGTCATAAACATTTTCTTTATATTTTGTTGTGTTTTCTAATTCTTTTAACAATGAGTGTATGCTATTTTTTAATAAAACAGAGCTTTTTTTCCTGACTACAACTAACTCAAACACAAAGAGAAACAAGCTTAAAGTGGTAATTCTTGTATTCTAAGGTTCCGAAATGACAGCTTTATTGTTACTAAAATAAATTAATATTATAAGAAAAAGTCCCATCTCCTTTAGCACCCAAACGAATGGTCCTTGCCACATAGAATTCCCAAACATTTAAAGTAAGCCAATAAAAATGATCCAGAAGGCTTAAAGTAACAGTGAAATTCTAACACTGTTTGTAGCAGGGGCCAGAAATGCCCACCAGAACCGGCTGATTTCTCTGTGTTGGGATAAGATTCAAAAGCTTGGTCACAGGCATTTTTAAATGTCTGAACAGGTGATGCTGAACTAAGACTTGACGACATGACTTTACCTGAAGCAGTGCAATAAAGAGGAAAAATGAATTGGCGGCTCTTCTGAACTGAGAGTAGAGGAATCGTGGGAGGAACGTGATTATGTTGTATTTTGCAGTGCTAGAAAACAAAATGAAAAGCTGTGTAAAAATCACTCCACAACTAGCTCCAACACTGACAAAATTCTATTATCACCACATAAAAAATCAGACGATGAACACCTGCCTTCTCTTTCAAATTGGGAGAAGACTGCAAATGGTCATTACCCTAAATGAGGAGGAGTGAAAGGAACTGTATCAATAATAGTAAGACTTTAGTTCTCTGCCTCATATCTTTTGTTCTCATTGGTCAATCATCCGGTTTCACATAACTAGGAGTAGCTTACAACGAAGAGCAACTTTCGTTAAGGTCATTTATAATGTGTTAATGGAGAAGAAAATCTTGCAAAAAAGGAATCAGCAATTTGAGCAGGACCAGAAACTTTACATAGAGGTGCCTTCCTTGGATGACTTCAGAGAAGTGGGGAGTTTTCTGGGTTTCTGTTTGAATTTTCTCTGTGGCCCCTCTACGAACCTGGCTAGGCCTCCACACTCACCACGGCAGACACAGCCCGTCAGTCAGACACCACCATCCGGGTCTTGGGAACATCAGTCTCTTGTCAGTTAAACAGGGAGGGAGTTAAAGGGACACATACCACACCCCCAGACTGGGAAGGGTTACTCTGGATTTTGAAGTTATAAATATTCATTTTAAGTGGGCGTGTCTCAAATCTATGACTTCTGCTCCTGGAGAAACACTGGACAGGTGCCGGGGGTGCTCGCCTGGTGCCAGAGGCCACTTACTGATGAGGGCCTGCGCCAGAGATGCTTTTTATATTATTGTTGGAATGAAAATAGAACAGTGAAGTAATTCTCACAGCCCTCCATCCCTCGTCACCATGCTGAATTCCGCAAGTATCAACAGCTAATACTTAAAGATTATTTAACCAAAAGGAGTTCTCGGTGAAGAACTAAAAGACCTTTTCTAACATGTAACAGTGTGCTAACTCAGAACAATAACCTACTGTTCTGTAACAGTGTTAAGATAAAGGGGTTTACCCATGAGCAGCTACTTATCCTTTCTGCTCCTTCCTGCTTCCAGATTCTCACTAACATCCCCTGATCGGCTAGATGGAGAAGGAGCCGATTCACACTGCCTCCAGTAGGCTCTCCACCGTGAGCTGGTTTAACTGGAAGCTCTGTGCGAGCATTTTCATTCTGGCTGGAAGACGGCAGGTAGGGCTCAGCTGGGAGAGCTGGCCCCACACCGTCCTTCAGCAGTTCCTACCTGACGTGGTTGTTGCAGAATTTCGTCAGCTGGGGCTGGTTGATGAATATAGTCCGTATTTCTTCCTGGTCTGCCAGTGAGGTCTTCTCCGAGACATCATCGGTCTTCTCATAACCTTAAAGAGAGAGAGTCTTCTTACTTGATATGAAACATTTCACTTTATTATCTGGAAGGAGTGTCCAACCCGTGGCCTGCCAGGATGACTATGAATGAGGCCCAATGTGAAATCATAAATTTACTGAAAATCTTTTTTGTTGTTGTTCATCAGTTTCCGTTAGTGTTTGTGTATTTGACGTGTGGCCCAAGATGACTCTTCTTCTTCCATGGTGGCCCAGAGATGCCAAAAGGTTGGACACCCCTGACTGATTCTAGACCAAAACCATACTTCATAACTATTCCATAATCTAAAATCTGTTATATGTGACATGCATTTCCCTTACTGGTATTCTTGTTTCTTTCATAATAAAAAAAATCCCCACATTTAACATCTGTTCTAAATTTAAAAGGCAGCATTTAATAGTCATGTAAAGACAAACCTATTCAAAAACAGTGACATCAATTTTCAATTTCTGTTTGCCTTTCCCTCACACACGTTCAACTTATTTAGTTTCCTCCCATTACGTATGACTATGTCCAAAAATAACAAAAAATCTTAAACTGGTTGAAATTACAATTTTATACAACACTAATAAGACAAAGGTAATTTCAAATATATATTAAAAATTAAGCATACATATTTAATCCTTTTGTTTGTTTTTCTTTCCTTTTTGTATGAAGACAGAAAAAGAATGAACAATGAGGTTTAAAAAGGAAACTGCCACAATTATTTAACTCACTATGATCATCTTACTCTTCTCACTAATTAGAATTTATGTTCACAAACAAATTTAAATGTTTTTTAAGATGAAATATTTCAAGTCATCTCACAATCATTGTAACAATTCAATAGATGCAGGCAATTTCTACTAGGTAACTAGATTACGGTAAAGTTGACAGTACTTTAAAAAATACATAGAAGTCCTAGTAAGAATAAAAAAAAATAACTGCTATTTTACCCTTGCGAGAATTCAGTGAGACTGGATGAAATCATTCCTTTAGCCCTTTCCTACAAAGGCTCACCACCACTACCTTATCTCCAGTACCCTCTTCTCTTTTCTGCCAAGCCAACGCCAACTCCTCCTGTAAGCTCTGAAACTCGGGGTCCCTCCTGAAGCCTTTCACGATGCGAAAGTCGGTGAGCCTTCTCTGTGACCCTGCAGCCCTCTGCGCTCCTGGCCTTCCCCAGCAGAAACATTCACGGGAAGGTTTTGCTGCTCTTCTGAGTCCACCTACTCCTGCCGGAATGGGAAGTCCCTGGGGCCTCGGGTCCTGCGTTACTCATCTCCTGGTTACACCAGCACCAGCAGCAGGTAGTCAGTCAATGTTTGCCGAGTGAACAAATACCAAATGATAAAGGGGTGGTTATTTGGCCATTGTTTTTTTTTCCTTTTTTTTTTTTTTGAGGGCAAGCAAATGCTTCTCCACCCACTGATAAGGACACTGAAGCAGCCAAGAGCTGGTAACAAACTGTGTAAGAAAAGCTTGCCTAGGTTTTATTGTTATATGAAACCAGACAATCATTTAGGTTTTCTACAAAGGCGAGGAACAGAAGCACAGGGGCCATGGGGCAGGGACCAGGGTAGGGTGCAGCAGGGAATGCAAACAGGGCAATAAAGCTGAAGCGCAGACCAAAGGCAAGGGAAAGACAGGAGAGATCCGGCACGGTGGAAGCACAGAGGCTGGGTCTCTGCGGGCCTCTCAGGCCTGTGGACAAGTCTGGATCGCATCCTCTGGTTGGCAGCGGGCCACTGAAAGCTTTCCAGGTAGATGGGCACACAGTGCGAGTCATATTTTATACTCATCGCTCTGGAGGTCACAGGGCTCCACGTGATACTGCTGCATTCGTCATTTTACAGTTTCAGACACACCAGCAGCTTTGCCCTTGGTCACGTGGTTAACCATTACTTTTCACTACATTATGTTTTGGATACCACACAAGCTTCCCCCCTCTTATTTTATACAGTCAAAATTTCACATGTGCATTGTCATCGACCAAATGTTTTTGTGTCCCTTCCAAAATTCGTATGTTGAAATCCCATCCCTCAAAGTCGTGGCATTTGGAGGCAGGGCCTTGGAAAGGTGTCTAGGACATGAGAGTTGAGTCCTTCTGAACGAGATTAGGGGCCTTGTAAAAGAGACCCCAAAGTGATCCTTCAGCCTTTCCATGACGTGAGGACACAGTGAGGAGACGACTGGCTCTGAGCCAGGAAGTGGGTCCTCACTAGACACTGAGTCTGCTAGTGCTGTGCTCTTGAACTTCCCAGCCCTCAACATTATGAAAAATAAACTTCTGTTGTCCATACGCTACTCAGTCTGTGGAATTTGGTTACAGCAGCCCAAACAGACTAAGACATGGATTATCAAATAGAGGCATATCAATCTTAAAAATCCTTAAAAATCTTTTACTATATTTTCCTTGAGGACAACACAAAGACTTAAATGGAAGATTCGAAACCATATGACTCCTTAGAAGAAAATATAGGCAGTAAAATCTGACACTTCTCTTAGCAATATTTTTTTCTGATATATCTCCTCAGGCAAGGGAAACAAAAGAACAAATAAACAAATGGGACTGCATCAAACTGCAAAATTTTTGCACAGCAAAGCAAACCATTAACAAGATGAAAAGACAATCTACTGAATTGGGGAAGAATTCGCCAATGATACATCTATCTGATAAGGGGCTAGTATATTCCTGAGAAAAGACTACACATGCCATCTGCTCTAGAATCTGTCACCTTGCACTGGTGACTACATGTAAGGAAAATTTTCTTAAGAAATGCAAATGAAAGTTGCCAGTGAATTTCTCTTTCCAGAAGTAACAGTGGCTTCTCCTCTGACACTTTCTGCTCTCCTCAGGGCTACTATTTTGGTGTGCCTCTCTGCCCCACTGCCTTGGCTTCTGTATTAGTTTCCTACGGTTGCCACAGCTAGGTAGCAATTTTCATCTCTTATTTCTTCTGGGTTAGAGGTGAAAACACATTCCCCACATTCAATGCGACAGCCATTCAACATGTGCCAGGTAACTCTACATTTATGCTTTTTTTTTTCCTTTTTTAAGTTTCCTTTGCAAGTTGCCACCTTTGGCAGCTCTGATGACCACATATAAAGAGCCCTGGGTTCATACCTGGGCAATGCCTGCACCGAGACATTGATGTACAGCAGTGGCAGGGGTAGCTGGGGTAAGAATCCACCACTCTGCCCCAAAGGAGGTAAAACGAACACGGCACACTTGCCACTCCTTCCTATCCAGGGGTGTCCAACCTTTTGGTGTCTCTGGGCTGCACTGGAAGAGGAGTCGTCGTCTTGGGCCACACAGCAAATACACTGCGACATGCAATCATACACCTCCCCCCCCCAAAAATAAAACAAACCCTCATGTTTTAAGTAAATTTATGATTTTTAAAAAAAAAGTCACTGTTTTTTGTTTATGTATAGTTTACCCTCATAGTTTTTTTTAAGATTTTAATTATTTTTAGAGAGGGGAAGGGAAAGAGGGAGAGAAGTATCAATGTGTGGTTGTCTCTCAAGCTCCCTCTACTGGGGATTTGGCCCACAACCCAGGCATGTGCCCTGACCGGGAATTGAACTAGTGACCACTTGGTTCACAGTCCAGTGCTCAATCCACTGAGCCACACCAGCCAGGGCATATTTACAATTTTGTGTTTACAATCCACAGTCACAGCCATCCTGAGCTGCATAGAGCCTGCGGGCCGTGGGTTGGACACTCCTGTGAATGTATACAGTTTATTCTGTTCTAAGGAAGGAAGCTATGCCTGTTGGATTTGTTTAATAATGTAGAGGGCTTGTTCACATAAATCATCCAAGTTGCCCGGTAGCTCCTCATCCACCTGTCCTGCCTTCTAAAGACTTACTAAGAACCAAGCCAGCTTTTGTGCCTTCCCCTCAGAGAAGGCAGAGTGGAGGAGGGTGAGCCACAGATCTGTCAGCAGTTCTCAGAGTCTTCACGGACGGTGGGGCCTCTTCAGAACCTTCTTTGTCCATAAGTTATACAAAAGGTTTTAGCTACTGAATGTGCCAGAAGAAGATATGACGCTGTAATACTAGATAAGGATATACAAGCAACATCCTCCTGGGGACCATTCCAGCTTCCAGCAATAACTTCCTTGATGAGAAAACACAGGATGATGGTGGGTCAGCACCCCACTCACGGCCCTGAAGTGAACATGTGTTCGTCTTCCCCTAAGAGTGCTTGACCATTAAACCTTCTTAGTGGTTGTGTGGCAAGCTCTGGTTCTTCCGGTGATTACTTCTGCGGCCCCCAAGCAAGCCACTTACTCCCTGGGGGTTGTTCTCTCGCCTTATAAAGTGAGGAAGGCAGGCTAATAATCTTAAGCTCCTTTTCAGCTCCAAAGTCCTGTGACATTTGTAACTGCTGGGCACCAGGAACAAAAATGTTGACATCTCATTTGTTCAGAAAAACAGGAAAATTTAAAAACAAAAAAATTTCCCTACTTGAGCCCCACGTTTCACTGCAATGGCTGCCCGACACAACCTGCAGCCAGAACTCAGCCACAAAGGCAAATGGCGCTTTGCGGTCATGGCTACACCTCCCTGTTTGAAAAGAGCAGTAGTGACGATCATCTGTGGCCACCAACTGCTGTCCCTGGGACTCACCTGTTGACCAGTGACTAACGGGTTACTGAGTATGTTGACATGTGGTCTTCCTGTCTTCCTCTGCCTAGATTCATGATCACATGCATATGTCCACACAGAATAAGGTAACTAACAGGGAAGAAAATGCTCAATAGCTATTTCAGTGAAAGGCTTTTAGCCTTTTCATACAATTACAGCAGAATTGTCATCTCTGAAGTTTTCCATTTCTCATCACAAATATCACGACCCGATCAGTAAAACCCACTGTTCATTAGTTCATTCATTCATTCATTCAACACAGATGCTCAACAGCAGTGCCTACTATGTGGCAGCCATTTTTTAAAAAGCTGCAGAAGCAGCAGAAAATAAGATAAGGTCCCTTCTTGTTGGGGACTTCTT